TGCGCTTCTTCGGCGCCGTCGAGGTACTGATTTTTTAACGAGTAGAAAGTAGCCATCCAAAGCGCCAATCTTCCCAGCGTAGTCGAAAGCATACTTCTTTGCTATCCGCTTCGCGCTTTCCTCGCTGTCCGTCTCGATAGCCCATGTGTTTGTATATGTACATAAGGCTCCCTTGTGAGTCGAAACGTATACAAGACACAAAATTATGGCGGTGAATATCGTCGAGATATACATATTTCAAGCGCAGAAGGCAAGTGAATTTCGCTTGTATGTGACGAAGGGAAACAATATATACTCATCCTATTGTGATGGCCATCAATATTCCAAGTTTATAAAGCTCTTTCCGATCTCTACTGCTTTGCTAGAATGTAATCTCTTTTGTTATGTTACCGATGCCATGTCATGTGTTATGAAATTGACACCTATCACGTGATCAATGTTTTGGTTTACGGCCTTCTGATTGGTCAATCAGGCTTATCTGATTGGCTTTGTTGTTCGAGAATATTTGTAAAGTTGCAAAAAGAATGCTGCAGATTTCAGAACTTGACCTTTTAATAGGTGTAATATTTACAAAACAATCCATATATATACATACGAAAATGGCCACGGGAACTTAAAGCTTAAGGAAATACTGCTTTATATACCGTTTGAGACTTTTAGCCCAATTTAGACAAAAAAACTTATTAAATGTCATTCAACATTCGTCGTGTATGGAACGTCGGCATCACTCGTCGACAGGATGTCTTTAGGCGAATTATGTTCGTACTCATGCTGTGAATACTAAACTTTATTAATTCATAGCAGGAGGCTGAAAGGCACCTATTCGATTCATTTCAAAAGCGTTATTCGATGATGAATTAAAACGCTCAAAGCCAAAAGGCAGAGAGCTATACCCTTGCCGAGCACTTGACCTTGGCGATGTTAAAATTAAATTTAACAAGAGTATTCGTGATGGCTGTGTTTGCATTATCACTTACGACTTACGTATGTTATTTATTGCACAGTGTAACATCTTCACATTTCGACACCTCGCTATATTGCACTTCGCAGCTTGTACCGAAAGTCGTAGAAATTTAATTATTTGAGGGGGCATTTGTTCTACACTAACTCAATGTAGAATGTCAGCTATGGGCAGATATAGGATCAAAAATATATGAATGAAAACTCACGATATTGGGCCGTCCTGCCATGAAAATCACCAACACGTTTTTCTTCGATTTTCCTATTATTAAACTCCTACCTATGTTGTTCAAAACGTGAAATTGCAGCTGGTTCATTTATAGAAAGATTAACTTGCAGAGACACGTTTTCGAACTGCTCCGGCATTTTAATAACTCAAGAAGAATTTGAAAAGGTTTAAATGTCTTTATATACGTAGGCAATTCATGTAAGCTTTCTGATGCTGCAAGTTATTTTTTCTATAAATGAACCTGAAAGTTCACGTTTTTATAACTATACTATAGCCTTTAATATAGGAAAAAAAACGTGTTGGCTGGGATATAAATTCTCGAGCTGACATCCCTGGTTTAAATCATCGATAAGCTATACCAAAATAGCTAGCAGAAATAGATTTTCAGGTACATATCAAATTCTCTTCTTCCTATTACGTAGATGAAAGCTAGCTAGTATATCGAATTCTGCTGACTCACCGTCGGATTAAACTTTACAGTACGAAAGGAAGATTGTTCAAAGCACGTACGAATTAACCCTGGTTAAAGTTCAACCAGCTGTTTTGGTTTGTGCATTCATAGCATTCACCGACGTCGATTTGTTCTATAATTTACAAAACAAATTAGTTTCAATTAGTTTCTGGAAAGAACATATATATATTTTAATAAAAGGTGTTGGGAAATTTGCTTTGATAATTACAAAGACAAAATATAAACAAAGCTAAGACTACGTTTTCATTGACGAAAAGTTTTGTCTTGCTGTCAAATTTGCAGTTTGAGGATAGATTTCAGTGAAATATTAAGTTCTTTGAAGGCACAAAAACAAATGTAAATAAGTGCTGTATCAGTTGGACATTTACAAAAACGGTGAAAATCGTGCAGCCCTGTAAAAACAAAGTACGTTTCGTTTCGCGTAATATAAATATAATGAGTGATTCCAGCTCTGACACTAAATTTTGATTTAGGCTGCAAAGTTTGGTTGCGAAATGTTGTAAAATGAAGAAAATATAGCCCTGTGAAGTTCGCAAATTTTGTCATATTTGTATATTACGCGCGGTAAAAATAACCACTTTCGGCTAAAAATGGTTATTTTTTCCGCGCGCAATGCAAATATATACAAGATTTGCGAACTTCACAGGCTATATATATTTTCCTCATTTTACAATATAGGCCTATAATTCGCAACCAATCTTTACAATTTTACTGACTTTAAGATGCTCTTTCCAGCTATGCCTATGGTAATATGGATTTCTTTTTTTTTTCTTTTTTTTTTTTTTATTAGCTTCGCCAACTAGGGCAGGGTCACCACAACAGCATATGCCAATTACTGTGGGCCCTTTTTTTACCTAACCCACCCTTGTCAACTTTTCCCTGTGGGAGGAAACCGGAGTACCCGGGGAAAACCCACGGCGTTCGGCAGAGCGTTGACTTTTACTCTTTTCACATGGGGACTGGGTTCGAGTCGCACTGAGAAGGTACTTAGTGAGATTCGAACCCGCAGCCTCAGAGGTGAAAGGCAAGTGCGCTAATAATCATCTATCTAATATCATCTATCTACTCATCAAACCATCAGTCCAATGCTGTTTTGCTAAGACTGTTTTGCTAATATCTAGCCGAGCAAAAGTCTGGGGACAAAACCCGGCTACACTATTTGTATTGGCGGTGTATATGCCCTTTTGACGTCATACAATTGTACCCTGTGGAGACAGCTAGTCAGAAGCCTGACGTCTGGGCTCTTCCTCTTGCTGTTTTTTATAAAATAAATCGCGGATTGATGGAATAAAGTATTAAACTGTTGTTTATCTGGGAACAGAAAAACATTGGTTTCAGATCTGCATGTGGTGTTAATTGTACCACACTTATACTGAAGATATGATCTTGCAATTAAGCCTTGCAATACGACTAGAAAACATTATTTAATAATTACAATTTAACATCGTTTACTGTAATACCTCCAAACACCACAACTGTTCAATTTTTGAAACATTTAAATTTTACCGGAATAAATATCGTTATTGTTTATGTGTATTGGCAGTGTGAATTTAGAATCACAGGCCATCACAGCGGATATTAAATATACAGAGATGGCATTTTGATCTAAGCCAGTCGATCAGTATCCATCTTTAATTTAAACTAATTAACCAATATGTCACGAGCTTTTCTCGAAAATCGTTTAAGTTTTTGCGTGTCGGTTGGTTAGCCGTCGGAAGTAATCTATAATCCTTTATCTTGAGATCATGAATGTGACTATTTGCAGTGAATATTAAGCCGCTCAATTGCGACAATTATAGAAAAATTAGCTCAATCTAAAGCAGAATATTCTCGGTTCGGTATTGGTATTAGCGAACATCTATTTTAGGCTCTCGACACGCGATCGAGAGACTGACAAATTATTTTCGTATTTACGTATTATATAGAAATTAATTACACATTATTGACTAAGGTTTTCATATAGATCAATTTAATTATTGAAAGAAAAAAGTACAAACACATGGTTGAGATTAACTATACAGCTATACTTTACATAACTATCAACAACTAAAGATGATGAACCTAGCTGCACTGAATCAGAGTGAGAAAATATATTGTCAACCCTTTGCGCAGTGATTGCGCGCAAAACTAACGAGTATAATATACAGTACTTGCGCCGAATATGACTGCATTAAAAATTTTTGTTTTTGATACGTTTCCCAATCGGCAAGCAAACTTAAAAAGTATGCTTTATCTGTAAAATAATGTTAAAATGAAGAGATTTTAGATGTCTGAAGTTCAGTAAGTTTTGCTTATATTCGGCTGCAAATACTGAATATGACGCGTCACTTTTAAAGCATCGTTGATAATTTTATTTTAATTGACATTTTTCATAAACTATTATTTTATGCTTCTCAACCGGCAAATGCATTTAAAAAGATAGCTAGGCAAACTGTGTAAACTAGAGAATAAAGCTACTGACAAAATTTGAGAGGTACGTCAAAACGATTTTCAGTTTTGAACACTCAGTTTCATTGCAAACACGCGAGATAGAAAAGAATTGCCTTCCGTCGTCTGTCGACCCGGTGATACACATGAATTTGATTACTAGATGTTATAGAAATAATTACCAGCAATTCTGGAACTGCTAGAACACAGTAATGCAGACAAATCGGAATGATGTGAGACTCATTAGTGAGCTTTTGTTGTCCACGTCCGTACGTCACGCGAAAATTTGTATAACTAATAATTTTGGCGGCATTTTGCGTCATAGCGCTTGTGTAAGGAAGCAAGAAACTTTAAAAATCTTATGCTTTGTCTTAATTAACCCCCCTCCCCCCCCCCCCGGGGACCAGCCGCGCTTTGCAGCGCGATTTATGCAAATTTGGTACGGAGCTAGGGAATGAGGAGTCTGGCGCGAGCTTCAATTCCAAAATAGTCCACTCAATTTAAACGTGCTTCAATTTGTAACAAAATTTACAGGTACTTTAAACCAAATAATTTCAATTTCTTTTCAAAATATAGTAAGTACATGTTATCGTTTGTAACCTACGGAGAGGGCAATGTCGATCATATTTATTTTACTTGTTCTTTTTCAGTGGAAATTGTCGCTGCATATTCAAGGTGTTAATGGACGTCTAGCAATGGTCAGTTGAATGTGTATTGTTGATTTAAAGTGTATTTTGTGTTTGTCTTCTACCATTAATGTTTATCGAAGAATAAGTAAAAGCTGATTTTAAATTCAAAATAAGTAAATTCACTATGTAAACCAGAGATATAATTTATGAAGTCTTATTATACAAATAGATTAATGAATCGTTTGGTGGTAGAGTAAAGTAATAAAGTAGGGTACATTGGGACTCAATACAAAATAATGGGTTAACTAGAGACATGGGCAGATAATCCGGTTAACCAATTGAGTGCCAGCGCTCTCTCCTTGTTGAGTAAAATTGTCTGGTGTTAGACAGAGTAAAATAATAAAGTAGCGCAGGATCTGAAATTTATATTTTTTCTCAAAATCCAACTGGGATACCAGGATTCAAAGATTAGTATCCCACCTGAGAATCCAATATCCCACTTCTGGATACTGGTTACTTGTACCATAAGTATTACACCCCGTTCCATCCAAATAAGTTTCCATAACTCTCATAGTGTTACCATGGATAATAAAATAAATGGATAGGAAACTAGCTGACGTGACCTAATGTTTTCAATGGGCTGATGGCGTGATTGGATGTTGAAACCTAGTTGCAAACCAATTTCTCAAAAACGGCATGTTTAGCAATAATACAGCTAAACATTTTAGTCAAAGAGCAAATGAATATAACTACGCCATTCTATGATGAAATCTCTAAGTATTCCCAGTCAATTTTAGCAAATATTTCAAGCACTAAACAGTGAAAAAGGCATCCCAAATTTCGTTAAAATTGGGGACGCCAATTTCGTAGCTACAAATGTAAAAAAATACAAAACAAAGACGAAAAACATTTACCTTGAATACCTTGTCGTGGCTTAGGCATGTTTTTAAAACAATTAGATCAGTATATGCTTCAATATTACTCTTTTAAAGCGGAAAGTATAGCGAAACAACAAAAATGCCGAGAACTTTGCAATACGTGTGACATCACAGATTGCAACTAGGTTGTTTTTGCTTACGTCAGCTAGAGTCATATCCATTTATTTTATTATCCATGGTGTTACAAATTACAATAAGTTGTTAGGAGACTTAACAGTCAAAAGTCAACTAAACAATTCATTAATACACTAAAATACAGTCCTCAATGAGGGAAGAACTGGCAAAATGATAGTATTCAAAAGCTATCAGGAGCCTGTCAAAGGTGTTTAACATTTTCTTAGTATCCAGTTGGGATACAAGTCATTCACAGTTTGGTATACAAAACCAAAAATTTGCAAATTTCAGAGTCTGATTAGGGTGCATTAATATAGGGTGCATTAGTGCAATACAACTTAATGGGTTAACTAGACACATGGGCAGAAGATCTTGTTAATCCATTGAGCGCAAAATGCTCTCCCCTTCATGAGTAAAATCGTCTGGTGTTAGACAGAGTAAAAAAATAAAGTAGGGCGCATTGGGAGCACATTATGCAACTCAATGGGCTAATAATGTGCATGACTAAATTGACATACAAAACTGATGCAGTAACCCCTCACCCTTTCTAATCAAACAACTATAGTTCCTAATTTAATGATTTTATAGGAAATTGTTTGGGATTCAAGATATTGAGGATTTCAAAATTTTTGGCACTATTTTGGGATTTTTCAGAATAGTTTTTTGGGGAAGTGTTAAAGGGGATTTTTGGAGTCAATTTAGCACTGTGATATAAACCTCGGCTTTCTAAACTATATATAGATGGATAGCAACATCTTGAACAAAATAACTCGGGATGACATCATCTATGGGAAATTTCCCAACAAGTTTATGTGGGGAGCGGCAACTGCCGCCTATCAAATTGAAGGAGCCTGGAACGAGGACGGGAAGGGTGAAAGCATCTGGGATAATTATTGCCATCGGAAAGACAGTCCTATCCATAACAACGATACCGGCGATGTTGCGTGTGATAGTTACCATGGTTACAAAAGGGATGTTGAAGGAACTAGGCATTGGTTTCTACAGATTTTCATTGTCGTGGTCAAGAATTCTGCCCGATGGTACATTACATGATGTGAATGAGAAAGGTATGCAAGGTACCTTGTGTTATTGCAAAGCAGACTTACTCAGCCTACATGGCTGATGTAACTGTCCACATCAACCTTGCAAACCAGGCTGTTTGTTTCGGCACTCATTTCATGTACAATGTATGTCCATATGTAAGCCACAATGTTTACCTACTTTGTTATTGGGTCATTCCAGAAAAGATCCACTTCCTTCCACGGAGGAAATTTCTGCCAAATGTACTAGGATGTCTGAAGGAGGCAAGGGGTTAACTCCCAATTTCCTCCATGGGGGAGGTCTGGATTTCTTCTGTCTGAATGACCCAATTTACTCTCTTGCTTGAAAAATTTGTTTTCAACCCACCAAACTTAACCCTCCATGAAAACATTTCTGCTACTCCACTCTCCCAACTTTTCTACCTCTCTAGACCTCGTCATCTGCACCACACTGTCCATGTAAAGCCAGTGAAGGTATCCCCACCTCCATTTTCAACTTTCCCCCATCCCACTTCTATGTGTTACCTTTTACACCATCCTTATCCACCACACTCTTCACCCCCTTGCCCATTGTTGCTGAGATTACATGAAATTTTGGATGCAGTGCAAACTAATTTAAATTGCAACTTTTGCTACAACTCATGCAATAATTAAGAAACTATTGAGGTAAGAATCCCCTTCCATTACCCTGCCCCCTTCACTCCGCCCCCTTCACCCACCACCCTCTTCACCCACCACCCTCTTCACCCACCACCCTCTTCACCCACCACCCTCTTCACCCACCACCCTCTTCACCCACCACCCTCTTCACCTACCACCCTCTTCACCTACCACCCTCTTCACCCACCACCCTCTTCACCCACCACCTTCCTCACCAACCATCCTCTTCACCCACCACCCTCTTCACCCACCATCCTCTTCACCCACCACCCTCTAGCTTCCCTTTTACACCTCCTACAATTGTTGCCCAGGTATCTTCACCCACCACCCTCTAGCTTCCCTTTTACACCTCCTACAATTGTTGCCCAGGTATAGACTACTATAACAAGTTGATCAATGAGCTGATTGAGAATGATATTCAACCGATGATTACACTCTACCACTGGGATCTTCCGCAAGCTCTTCAACAGAAACACGGAGGATGGTTGAGCGAGAACATTCAAGATTTATTCAATGATTACGCAAAGTAAGTGAGCTGATTTTGACACAAAATATTACAAGATGTTTCACATTTTACTGGTTTCCACTTCTCCAATTAACCATTTCGAAAATTAACCATTCCGAATCGAAAAATATCGAGCCATGACGAGCGGACGTGCTTGTCGCTGCTCCCAAATTTTTGGGCCTTTAATACTAATTGGTTATCTGTATTTTACAAAATGTTGAATACAGCGACTACTGTAACCTTATTGACCATCCTGGCTTGGTTAACATATCATTTCATCAAACGGGAAAGCAATTATGGAACTCTAAGTTACTGCCATATAATCAAAATCGCGTGTTTACTACAACCAAGGTCAAAAGATCGAAAGGTACCATAGTTTATTACAGGAATTCAACTTCAACTTTTAGACCGATCCTGCAGCTTCTCCATGACATCGAGCTTAATCCAGGACCTAACAATTATTCGACTAGCGATTCAAGAACGACTAAGAATAATGTAAAGATTGCACATCTCAATGTACGCTCATTAAAATGCAGAGAACATTATGTGCTTGTAAAAGAAACCATCCTCGCTAATAAGTTCGATATATTTACAATATCAGAAACATGGCTTGATAATTCTGTTACAGACGTTGCATTCGAAGTCCCTGGCTACAAACTTTACCGAGTGGATCGAGAAAACAAAAAAGGCGGTGGTATATGTGTATATGTATTGCAAAACTACGAAAGTGTGTTACTAAGCGAAATCTCGTATATATCTCCCACGGGACTCCATCAACTTTGGCTAAGAATTCAGATTAGGGAACTTAAAATCCATTGTGGTTTGCACGGTGTATAGACCTCCTGATGCCTCCGTGTCTTGTCTAGACTCAGATCTAATTACAAGTTACATCTCAGCTTTAACGCTTTCCCATCCAATATACATACTGGGGGACCTAAACTGCAATCTTTTGAAAACTGACAACCGTGACGCCAAAGCTCTTAATACGTTCTGCCATTCTTACAATTTAACTCAACTTATCAACTCACCAACCCGAGTTACTGAAGGTTCCAAATCGCTATTAGACGTGATTATTGTTTCTGAGACAAAACAAGTCCAAAAAGCAGGAGTTATGGAAAGTTCAATCAGTGACCATGATTTAGTTTACGTTGCACTTCGCCTCAAAAAGGCACGCACAAAACCTGTTTTTATTACAACAAGGAGTTTTAAACACTTCAACTCCCAAGCATTCAACAATGATGTGGCCCTAGCGCCATGGTCTATAGTAGATGCTTTTGACGATGTTGAGGACAAATTACAAGCTTTCAACTCATTGTTTATAGATATACTTGATAAACACGCACCGATAAAAACGTTTAAAATCAGAGGTCGACCTAACCCATGTGTAACTGAGAACATTCGGGAACTGATGAAG